TCCTAGACAAGGTATGTGCCTCTTAGCAGCCTTACTATGCCTTTCTGTGACATGAGTTTCTCTTGAGGCAGAACATTGGTTTTATGTTTTGGGGCATGAAGTCTCTACTATATATTCAAGACCATGGAAAACGTACCTCTTGGGGAAGGTCAAGGAATGGGTTTGGATTTTAGAGCTCATTCCCCATGCCTGTCTTGTATTCAGCTTCTTGAACAACTCCCTTGGTTTTTAGCCCCAGCAGCCTGTCATTCCATGAAATTGCTGTTTTGTATTTCTTGCCCAGTGGGTCATAAAAGTCTACTGCATTTCACGCCCACTAGATGAAAAAAGCTGGGGAACCCTAGTCTGATCCACTGTACAAGCATCTCATTCAAGTAATCTCCCACTGCTTAATACAAAAGCTGTTTCTTTGCTGGCTCATTCTTCCAGCCTATTTAAACAAGAGTACAGGTAGTCCTCGCTTAATGACTGTAAATGGGACCAGAATTTTGAGGATATTTATTTATTTATTAAATTTGTACGCTGCCCATTTCCCCCACAGGGTGATTCTAGGCGGCTCACAATTAAGGTAAAACCCGAAAACGGTTAAAAATATAAATATCCACCTTAATTAGTTACAAAGTCAAACTATATAAAAAGATCACATACATAAGACTAAAAACATTCAAGATGATGGGGGGGTAGAATCAATTATCCCACAAGCCAATTCTGATGGTGTGAGCCCCCATTCGGCCCCCAGGCCATCTGGCATAGCCAAGATTTCACACTCTTCCTGAAGGCCATGAGAGCGCACCGCACCTCAGGAGGAAGGTTGTTCCACAGAGTGGGGGCCACAGCAGAAAAGGTCTTCTTCCTAGATCCCACCAGTCGACATGCACCTTCTGCCAGAACGAGTGGGGCGGGCTGATGTAACGGGAGCGAGACTGCTCTTCAGATAACCTGGTCCTGTGCCATGAAGGGCTTTAAAGGTAATAACCAACACCTCGAATTGGACCCGGAAGCAAACCGGCAACCAATGCAGCTTGCATAACAGAGGTGTTATATGGCCCCCCGGGGGCATTCAGAACTGTCCGCGCCACTGCATTTTGCACCAGCTGTAACTTCTGGATACTCTTCAAGGGTAGCCCCATGTAGAGTGCATTGCAGTAATCCAACTGGAAGGTGACCAGGGCATGAGTGACCATGTGGAGAGCCTCCTGATCCAGGAAGGGGCGTAACTGTTTGCAGGTCATTAAGGGAGGACCTCACATGACCAGGACTTGTGACTTCCTGCCGGCTTCCAACAAGTAAAGTCAACGGGGAAGCTGGCAGGAAATTGCAAGTCTGGTCACAACACGCCTTTTCTCAGGCGGCTCGCAAGCAGATCAGTGGCTGGGTGAGTGCTACAGAGCGCAAGCAGGGGGAGAAAAAGAGGCAGGAGTGGGAGCAACTTACAGGATTGATTTGCAACCTTCCCTGCCAGCTTCCCTATTGACTTTGCCTGTGGGAAGCTGGCAGGGAAGGTCGCAAATGGCAATCACATGACCATGGGATACCGCAACCATCGTGTGACCCAGTCGCAAAGTGCCTGAATCGCAATTACATGACCATGGGGATGCCGCGATGGCTGCGACTTTGAAGATCGGTCGTAAGTCCCCCTTGTTCGGTGCCGTTGAATGGTTGCTGAACAAGTGGTTGCTAAGCGAGGACAACCTGTACTGATTTTGAAGAGGGCACTTCTTACACAATATTTGAATGTGTGATCCTGAAATCCGTACTTTCTTTTAGAAGAACTACTCCCATCTTCATTTGGAAATTGCCTTGATACAGATCAGACTGCCCATTTCATCCAGTGCTGTCTACTCTGATTGCCAACAGTTCACCAAGGTCTTGAACACCTGAAACTACCCTTCCTATTTCTGTTGCTACCTGAGGCCCTATTTCACTGGAGATGCTGGGGGCTGAATACGACACCTAAGTGCAGAGCTATAGCCCTTTCCCATTAGAATCTTGTTAGCCATTTTTTCATCCATTCAAGGCAACCCTCAAATAAGGTCAAGCACAACTGTTCCAGTTATCCAAAGGCGATTCACAATCAGGAATAAATAGGGCTTGCAGAGTCTGCTGCTTGACAATCCTTCTCCCACCTGTTCCAAAGTCCAAACTTACCCCACGGCGTCGACAATGTCGTGGTTTTGACACATTCTTGGTCACTTTGTGGCCTTTGTTCAGGCCAACGGCCATTGGATATCGGATTACCATGGCTAGGAAAGAAAAAACAGGGAGCGATTATGATTAGTTGTGTACTCTTTTATTCCACCATTCCTCCAAAGAGATGAGAGTCAGCATGGCCTTCCACTCATGCCAAATGACTGATCCAGTATCATCTCCTGGGCTCTGTGACTGAGATTTCAATCTGTCCCTCTCTGCTCCCAGTTCAACTTCCTAACAGGGCTGTGCAGCATTTCAGATTTGAAGGCAAGAAGGTGCTTTGGAGTACAAACTGTCTTGTTGTTCAGTCGTTAAGTCGT